GCTATCTCACCACCCTTCCTGTTGGACCCTGTCAGTGTGGAATAATTTATAGCCTTGTATGTGACATTCAGAGGGCATCTATCTTTCAGATTGAGCCAGGTCTCTGTTATAGCAATAATATTTATGTTTCCTGCACTTGCAATTAGTCTTAGCTCATCTATCTTATTTCTTACACTCCTGCTATTAGTACAGTAAACCTTAAGGGAGCTAGTCCCTTGCTGCCCTCTGCTGTCCCCCTTTGTTTGCTGACCTGATCTATTGTCTTTATTTATAACTTCACACTGAATGCCTTTTATACATTTGCTGTTTCCAACCCTAGTGTTGCAACCTGCTTGTTTCCCACACACACCCATACCTCTATCTTCTATCAGTTTAAAATCATAGGCATTTCACCAATGGCCTTCTCAATTGAGTTTGCAAGTGCTACCACCCCAGCCCCAGAGAGACGTACCCCATCCCTTGCATACATATCATGTTTGCCATAAAAGTTGTTCCAGTTGTCAATGAATGGGATTGCAAGTCCTTGCAGTATCTGTCTAGCCAGCAATTTACACCAATTGCCCTAGACAACCATTCATTTCCTACTCCCCTTCTAGGCAAGATGCTACATATGACTGGGACCCCTCCCTTAGACTTAATGAAATCTATAGCTGACCTGTACTTATCTAGCAGCTCTTCTCTCCTACCCTTCCCAATATCATTTCCACCAGCACTGAGACAGATAATGGGCTTGTTCCCATTACCTGACATGATATTATCCAGCCTGTTAGCTATGTCCCCAACACCAGCTCCAGGGAAGCACACTCTATCTATCATCTTCTTATTCCTATTACAAAAAGCACGGTCAATATATCTTTGGTGTGAGTCAGCAACCACAAGAATGCGCTTGCCTCTGTTAGCAGAGGCAGTAGTACCCTTACCTTCACTGGCCACTGAAGTACATTCATTCTGAAGAACAGAGAAGCGATTTCCTACCTTCAGATCTTCACTTTTAACTTTCTTTATTCTGATTCTCCTCCCATTACTGGTTACCACTCGCCTCTTGTAGCAGGTGCTGGACTGCACCTCACTGCTGGTAGCCGTTGCTACCTCCCCACCTACAGCCTCCTCACAGCGAGAGACACACTGCACCTCACTGCTAGAAGCCTCATTCCCCACTAACTCGCACCTCACACTCTCTTCCCAGACCCATTGAGGTGGCTGACTAGCCTCCTAATCACTCTGGTGAGCAAGTGCTACCCCCTCCTCAACTCTCACAACAAGAAACACTGCACAACCACTGCTTGAACCTCATATCCCCACAACTCCAGCCGACCTCACGTGACACTCTCACCATGACCCATGAGGTGACCTTCAGTTCCTCTAATAGCTCCTGGAGAAGCGAAGACGTGACCTGTGAAGTCTCCAACAAATTTTTATAAGACCTGCAGAAGCAAGCCATGCTTTGTAACCTCCACTAATCCCCAAAGAGCTCAGGGTCTGTAGTCTCACGTGAGGCACTGCCGGGCCATCCCGTTTACTAATGAGGCAGAAGCTTGGGAGGAGGCGATGTGGGAAGGAATAAGATTCCGGTACGGTGGTTTGGGTGTATATTGTGGTTTGTAAGAAAGGTGTAGGTTTTTGTTGTGTAATATGGACCGGCAAAGTGACGTTAATGTTAAAAATCACATGTATAGGGTAGGCTAGTTGCTCCATTTGAGGTCCACTGCCGGAAACAGATCCGTTGTACTAAAGAGGCAGAAGAGTTCCCATTGCTAATGATTTGGATGGTGACAGAACAAAAGTGGAATGTTGCCTCACCGCTGTTTGATGGTGTATGTGCTAACTATTCACCTGGATGGTTAATGCTGATACCACATGAGCAAGTTAAGGCACTAGTGTGCTACACCAATGATTGGTAATAAGTTGACTACCACCACAGATGGATGTGTTGACTACACAGATGGGTAGTGGTGAACTAACCACCACATAGATGGGTATGTGGTGACACATCACAGTGAAGGGTATGTGCTGACTACCACCAAGGATGGGTAGTGGGTTGGCTACCACCACAAGATGGGAATGTGGTGACAACCACCACAGATGGAATGTGGTGACTACCACCACAAGATGGGTAATGTGGTGACTACCACCTCAGGATGGGTATGTGGTAACTCACCATCCAGAATGGGTTATGTGCTGATTACCACAGGAGGAACGGTTGATACCAATAGATAGGTATGTGGTTGACTACCACCACAGGATGGGTATGTGGTTGACTACCACCACAGGATGAGTATGTGGTTGACTACCACCACAGGATGGGTATGTGGTTGACTACCACCACAAGATGGGTATGTGGTTGACTACCACCACAGGATGGGTAATGGCAGTCACCAAGGATGGGTTTGGCTGACTACCACCATAGGATGGGTATGTGGTTGGCTACCACCACAGGATGGGGATGTGGTTGACTACCACCACAGGATAGGTATGTGGTAACTACCACCACAGGATGGGTATGTGGTGACTACCACCACAGGATGGGTATGTGGTAACTACCATCACAGAATGGGTATGTGGCTGATTACCACCATAGGATAGGTATACGGTTGACTACCACCATAGGATAGGTATGTGGACTACCTCAGGATAGGTATGTGGTTGACTACCACCACAGGATGGGTATGTGGTTTACTACCACCACAGGATAGGTATGTGGCAACTACCACCACAGGATGGGTATGTGGTGACTACCACCACAGGATGGGTATATGGCACGTACCACCACAGGATAGGTATGTGGTAACTACCACCTAGGATGGGTATGTGATTGAGCTACCACCACAGGATGGGTATGTGGTATACTACCACCAAGGATGGGTATGGGTGGACTACCACCACAGGATGGGTATGAGTTGACTACCACCACAGGATGGGGTATGTGGTAACTACCACCACAAGGATGGGTATGTGGTAACTACCACCACAAGATGGGTATGTGGTAACTACCACCACAGGATAGGTATGTGGTAACTACCACCACAGGATGGGTATGAGTGACTCCACAAGATGGGTATGTAACTACCACCACAAGATGGGTATGTGGTAACTACCACCACAGGATGGGTATGTGGTAACTACCACCACAGGATGGGTATGCGGTGATACCACAGGATGGGTATGTGGTAACTACCACCACAGGATGGGTATGTGGTAACTACCACCACAGGATAGGGTATGTGGTAACTACCACCACAGGATGGGTATGCGGTGACTACCACCACAGGATGGGTATGTGGTAACTACCACCACAAGATGGGTATGTGGTAACTACCACCACAGGATGGGTATGTGGTAACTACCACCACAGGATGGGTATGCGGTGAACTACCACCACAGGATGGGTATGTGGTAACTACCACCACAAGATGGGTATGTGGTAACTACCACCATAGGATGGGTATGTGGTAACTACCACCACAGGATGGGTATGCGGTGACTACCACCACAGGATGGGTATGTGGTAACTACCACCACAAGATGGGTATGTGGTAACTACCACCATAGGATTGGTATGTGGTAACTACCACCACAGGATGGGTATGTGGTAACTACCACCACAAGATGGGTATGTGGTAACTACCACCATATGATGGGTATGTGGTAACTACCACCACAAGATGGGTATGTGGTAACTACCACCACAGGATGGGTATGTGGTAACTACCACCTCAGGATGGGTATGTGGTAACTACCACCACAAGATGGGTATGTGGTAACTACCACCACAGGATGGGTATGTGGTAACTACCACCCATAGGATGGGTATGTGGTAACTACCACCACAAGATGGGTATGTGGTAACTACCACCACAGGATGGGTATGTGGTAACTACCACCACAAGATGGGTATGTGGTAACTACCACCATAGGATGGGTATGTGGTAACTACCACCACAGGATGGGTATGTGGTAACTACCACCACAAGATGGGTATGTGGTAACTACCACCACAGGATGGGTATGTGGTAACTACCACCACAGGATGGGTATGTGGTAACTACCACCACAAGGATGGGTATGTGGTAACTACCACCACAAGATGGGTATGTGGTAACTACCACCACAGGATGGGTATGTGGTAACTACCACCACAGGATGGGTATGTGGTAACTACCACCACAAGATGGGTATGTGGTAACTACCACCACAGGATGGGTATGTGGTAACTACCACCACAGGATGGGTATGTGGTAACTACCACCACAAGATGGGTATGTGGTAACTACCACCACAGGATGGGTATGTGGTAACTACCACCACAGGATGGGTATGTGGTAACTACCACCACAAGATGGGTATGTGGTAACTACCACCACAGGATGGGTATGTGGTAACTACCACCACAAGATGGGTATGTGGTAACTACCACCACAGGATGGGTATGTGGTAACTACCACCACAGGATGGGTATGTGGTAACTACCACCACAGGATGGGTATGTGGTAACTACCACCACAGGATGGGTATGTGGTAACTACCACCACAAGATAGGTATGTGGTAACTACCACCACAGGATGGGTATGTGGTGATTACCACCCAACTTATGGATATAAGGTACATAAAGCGAGCAATCAACCCAACATTTCCGTTTGCCTTTACACTATCATCGTTGGTAATTACAAACTCAATAATAAATAACCGTTAAGAGAAACAACTTTTGTCATTCCGAAAGCGTCTTAAGATATAGAAAGTTAGATATTTTGTAGTTTCAAGCCAACATAGATACTATGGAAGTATCTTTTATCAACTGTTTGGTTTTAACATTCGCATAAAGAATTGTAAACTAACAGTTAATCAGAAATAATTATGATGGGCTATCTTGTACTCAGAAATTTCTTTTGCGATGGTCCTGATATAACTGTTGATTTCATCGTTATCTTGGCCATGTAACAGCGTTATCGTACCTAATATACACTCTCGAACATCCACAGTTTTCACTATTCATTGCTCTACCATTATCGCTACACCTTCCTCCTCCATCACCGCAGTTCCAGTTTTCAAGTATCTCTGTGCTCGACTATTCCGCTGTTTTCTTCTTATTTCGTTGTTTTTGGTTATTTATGGTTAAATATAGGTAAACGTACGTTAAGTGAAAAACATAAATTATCAAATCTTAAATTAACAAATATTAAATGGACGAACTGCAGTTCAGATAAAACTGAATGACTGAATTACAGAACAAGTTATGTGTTTACCTGTGTAAGTCAGAAAGAAGGACCTACGGAGGGCAGAAGGAGAACAAAGAACGGCTATGGCATCACTGCAGGAGGCTACGCCGGAGGAGCTGCCAGCATTGCTCGAACGTCTGACAACCAAACTCCCACATTCATTCACTGTGAATTAATAAGACTGGGAATTAATAAGACTCGAATGTACGGCAAGCCAGTGAAAATCCAACAGTCCAGTGCTTTACTCTATAGACTGCACATTGCATACTGTCTACTGGTTAGAGCACTGCCTTGCTAGTTTTAGAGCAAGCTTGCTCCTTCCCAAGGTTATTTGCAGTTGTCATGATTTCTGAGATCCCTCTTTATTTTTTTTACCCTAGAGGGCCAGGAAGGAAGGGAATAGCAGGCAGACCATGAGTTAGCTACTATATTTATATATATATTATCCTCAGCTAGCATTTTTATGGCTGAATTGTATGCCATTCTTGTGCACTTATCCGTATTGCATCTATGCCTGTGTCACCATTTGCGGTTGTTTCATACTCCCTTAGTGCTTTACAGGGTAAACGAAAATTTGATGCACCTCACCCCTTAGTTCTTCGTATTCAACTTTGATTAAGCCGTATCTCTACCAAGCACAAAAATATTGTTTTTTGTTGGGTCCCTGGTCATGTTGACGTACAGGGCAATGAACAGGCAGACACTACCGCGCGGTCAGCAGTACATGACCTCCCAGTTTCATATAGAGGTGTTCCATTCATGGACTATTTTGCTGTAATTGCTACCTACCTTCGCACCCGTTGACAACAATGTTGGTATGATCTGTTCCATAAAAACTTCATTCTATTAAAGAGAGTACAGGTTTCTGGCTGTCTTCTTGTCATCAGTATCGAGGCTGGGAGACTATTCTCTCTCGTCTTCGCATCGGCCACACTCGTCTTACTCACGGGTATCTCATAGAGAGGCGCCCTGTTCCTCTCTGTGAGAATTGTCAGGTTCTAGTATCTGTTAGCCGCATTCTGTTGGACTGTCCACTCTATCAACGAGCACGCAGAATTTACCTCCATCGTCGTCGCCGCTCTGCTGCCCTTTACCTTCCCTTCTTGCTGATGGACCCTCCTTTAATCCAGACTCTCTCACTGACTTTTTTGACAGCAACTGATTTACTACACAAACTCTAATGATGATGCCTCTAGCACTCCCCTCAGTCCTTTCTACCTCAATCTCTAGCTACCCTCTACCCCAGCACTATCCACTGCCCCGCTGCCCTGGTGCGCTGTATAACCCTTGTGGTTTAGCGCTTCTTTTTTATAATAATAATAATAATAATAATAATAATAATAATAATAATAATAATAATAATATATTTATAGTCAAACAAAATTTACATTCAATCACAGTTTATGGGAAGAAGTTATCGAGATCTTAATACATATATTTTAATAAAAATAATAGTAATAATAATTAAAAATAATAATAAAGATAATAATAATAATAATAATAATAATATAATAATAATAATAATAATAACGATAATGGTACTAATACTTGTACTTTTACTACTTCTACGACTAATACTACTAATAATGACAAAAATTAAGATATTATTATTATTATTATTATTATTATTTGCTCTAAAATAAAATTTTGATTCAGAAAAAAATAAAAAGTATTAAAACCTGAGTAGGAAAAATTAATTATAATGTTTGTGTTATGAATGAAAATATTTGACGAGTGTGATGTTCCAGGTGCATGGGGTGGTGAGTGGCCAACTAAGTCATGGACTGGACCGCTGGAAGATTATTGTCTCTCCTGCACCATCCACACTAGTGATCGTTACTAGGAGTTCCTTAGTAAGTACTAGTCCTGTGTGACTCCTGCACCATCCACACTTATTCTCATTATATCTATGAGTAATGAGAATGATGTATCCTACACCCTCTACATTTCTCCTAAGTGTTTCTTAGTGAGTACTAGAACCGTTGTCTGTTTATTTACATCCGCTACTCTCCTTTCTATTTCTGGGTACGATAGTCAGGACTAAGGCTAGTTTTCTTTTTATGCATCCTTTATGGGTGTAAGTTGATACAAGTGAGAGACTTAACTCTTTGTCCAAGGAATTAGATCCAGCACCACACGAGCATGTAGAGAAGGCAGGTGTGAGGGTCAGAATTCCCACATATTCCATTCCTCCTGACAAGTCGCACTGTGCATGCTAGTAAATGTGAACAAGTCCTCCCACACTTTCCTTCTCATGTAGAGACCACGGAAGTGTGAATATTCTCCTGATGAAAAGGCTGGTTCTTGAAGTACAAAAGAAATTTTTCCATTATTGTTTTAACAGTTCTAACTTTTACTTATGAGAAACAAGAGTATTTCTGATCATCACCAAGTTATTATTCAATTAGACTTACGCGTACATTTGTAAAAGTTTTTTTGATTTCTGGATCTTAGTCTCCATGAAAGCCAGTACAACCAAACCATGTCACATACTGTCCTGTACGAAGGAGCAAATTTTGGCTACTTGGCAATTTAAAGTTTTTAATGAGGGAAGGGCGGCATCCCTAGCAGAGGTCATAAAGCACTTTTAGATTCCGATTTGAAAAACATCTATGCCACTTCAAAATTTCTTTTTGGATTCAGCATCCCATAGCCATAGCTTTTCGTGGTAAGATCAGTTTTAATACCAAAACACTACCCAACTGATAACAGTCAAATTATTTTGTTAGATTAAAATGGATGGGGTATGTGTTCCCTATAAAAGCGTAAACATCCCTGTAAATATTCATGAAGTTCGTAATTCGGTAATAAACATACTATCTGGCAATACTTAGTAACCATCCACCATGACCCATCCCTCAGCCCACACCGTGATATCCCCTGATAAGATATCATTCATCGATAATAAGCTTTCTGGCAACACTCACAACCTCTTCACCCAGAAACCATTACCTAACATCATCTCGTCCATGTCCCTTACCTACATAATTACATCGAACCCCTTATCCAACCCACAAGATCTAATTCCTCTACCTGACCCCTCAGCCAACACTTATACCCTACCCTCACCCCTCTCCCTTACGCCCCGATTACCTTACCCCCACCAATCCCTGATCCATATAAAGAGTAAAAAGGCACGTTACTCTGAATGGAACAATACACGAATAACCCGGACATAGGTCCAAATTGGACCGTTAACTACACAAACAGAAATGCGATGGGAAGGGAACCAATATATATACACGATAGGGACACAGTAATAGTAGCAGCAGTATAAGTAATGCAACAGTGTCAGAGGTGGCAATAAGAAAGGAGTAGTGGTAGTGACACGTGTCAGAGAGTGGAGTGTTAACGAAGCAGAAGTATTCATATTAGAGGAGGTAGTCTAAGGACAACAAAGAGAAAAAAGGATCACTGTAGCAGAGATAATGGTTCATGAGGCTAGGACAATAACTCAGGAAAAATCTCATTGGATAGAACCCACCTAGGCAGAAGAAATGAAAGGGAAGGAAAGTATAGGAAAGGAGAAGAGGTAAGGTTGAGATAAAGGTCAGGTCAAGCAATGAATCTTCTGTAGTTTGGAGTATTTTACAATACAATGGGAAAGAAAGCATTTACAGAGACAAAGCCAAGACTAAGATTCATGAACACTGACTTCTCTTTGATCCTCAACATTTCATACTCAACTCCGTCAAATTCACATTCATTTTCTTATTATTCTTAACTTTTTTCTTTTTAAATCATCATAATTAGTTTTCCATCTTTCGAGAGATTTAATAAAATTTAATATTTCTTCACTCTATGCTGTTTTATTTCTCACAAAACTCCATAAATGCTTAAAGATAGGAAAATTTTCTTAGATTTTCAAGGGTTAACATCAGTTTTTACATTCTTTTCACACATAAATATATCCTTTATTTCACATAAGTTTAAATATTTATTTCCAGACCGATAAGATATTTAATTTGTCTCAAGGTGTTCTCATCTCGGGAAGATATAAACATTTACAGGTTATATTACCATTTATTTTACTGTAATTGGATAATCACCCTTATCTTTCCTTATTTGATAATGGCGCCATAATTCGAAGTTCGTACATATCAGATTGTTACATCTGTTAGAGTTGGTTATTTCTTTCACTGTAGATGATAAATCGTACTTATGTATTTATTAATGACTCAATCATTATAATTCTTGGAAAGATGTGGGTGCACCTAATATTAAGTAGTCAACAAACACCTGGAGTATACCTGGAGAGGGTTTCGGGGGTCGGCTCCCCCGGAGCCTGGTCCGTGACTAGGCTTCGCGGTGGATCAGGATCTGATCACCCAGCTGTTATTGCTGGCCTCAGGTAAACCGACGTATGAGCCAAAGCGAGGTTCGTAATGAACTGACTAGGTGACTGTCCAGCCCCTTCATGAAGACAGCCAGGGGCCTATTGGAAATCCCCTTGTGTGCTGGGAGGCAGTCTTGCGCCCCTGACACTTACTATGTTGTCTTTTAGCTTTCTCGTGGTGCCCCCCCTGCTTTTTATTGGGGGATGTTGCATCTCCTGCCAAGTCTTTTGCTTTCCTAGAGAGTGATTTTCATGTGCAGAATTGAGACTGGTCCCTCTAGGATTTCTCAAGTACATGTTATCATGTATCTTTCTCGCCTGCATTTCAGGGAGCACAGATCAAGGGATTTCAACCGTTTCAAATGATTTAGATCCTTTTTAGCACTTATACATGCCGTGAAAGTTCCCTGTATATTCTCCAGGTCTAGAATTTCGCCTGTCTTGAAAGGGGCATTAGTGTACAGCAATGTTCCAGCCTAGAGAGAACAATCACCTTGAAGAGAATCATCATGGGCTTTGCATCCGTAGTTTCGAAGGTTCTCATTATCCTTCCTATTATTTTCCTAGCAGAAGTTCTAGATACATTGTTGTGATATTTGAAAGTGAGATATTTTGACAATATCACTCCCAGGTCCTTCACATTAGGTTTTTCTCTATTGTGTTGTTGGAATTTGATTTATATACTGTATACAGTTTTAATTTACTCGATATTTCAGTAGCGGAGCAATTAAGTTTGTATTCTTTGAGGTACATATTGTTTTATGCGGTATATTTTAAGTACAGTGCCTGCACTCTGAAGGAGGAGTGTTAATGCTGCAGTTTAAAAACTGTAGTGTAAAGCACCCTTCTGGCAAGACAGTGATGGAGTGAATGATGGTGGAAGTTTTTCTTTTTCGGGCCACCCTGCCTTGGTGGGAATCGGCCAGTGTGATAATAAAATAAAAAATAAAAATAATATTTTAAGAATTGGATCATATCCGATGGAGACTTGCAGGATTTTTGATGGATGGCATCTGCCAAGGAAGACACGGTGCTGTGGCTTACAAATACTGTTCTTGGAGGCTAGTACACCATACTGGGAGAAGGACGAAATTATCTCTGAAGCACCCACACCATCGTATGTCCTCGGCTCACAGTACAACACCTAGCTCTGCTGGGTGTTTGATTTTTTTATAATTGTATGCTCGCATGGGTTAGAGCATCATGGAATTTTCGCTCACATGAGTTTTTTTTAATATTTTATTTAAAACAGTACATAACAGCACATAAATAAAAGACAGGATCTATCCGGCAACAGACGTAATAACCTTCCATTGCCCAATAATTCACTACACACACAACCCCGCGTGGGCTTCCAACCCCCTCCTTATCCCCCTCCAAATCTAAATCAAACTGGTTTACCACAGCAACCTGCATTAATTTTACAGACATATTGACATATATACATTAATATTACAGTTGTCATGCTAGTCCACAAAGTGTATTACACGACCACTAGACTGCTTGAACAATGTATATTACACGACCACAAGACTGCTTGAACAATGTATATTACACGACCACTAGACTGCTTGAACAATGTATATTACACGACCACAAGACTGCTGGAACAATGTACTAACAACATTCATGGTTTAGGTATAACAAAAAGGCACAATACCGTGACTGGAACGATACACAAATAACCCGCACATAAAAGAGAGAAGCTTACGACGACGTTTCGGTCCGGCTTGGACCATTTACAAAGTCACACCATTTACAAAGTCACAGTGTGACTTTGTTAATGGTCCAAGTCGGACCGAAACGTCGTCGTAAGCTTCTCTCTTTTATGTGCTGGTTATTTGTGTATGGTTTAGGTATGTATCACAACAATCAATACATTACCACAACATGAAATACATTTACCACACGTCAGGAATTCACTGTAGGTAATGACACCTATTCCTACAATTTTCCCCAGCACAGCCTTGTGGGAAGCCTCACCTCCCCCTCTTGCGTTTCTCACCCAAACCCATTCTCAACCAAACATACAATTAATACAATAAAGAAAATGAATACAGCATATTATAACACTGATACAGTACATGTATATACAATAGCCCATTTCGCAGCATCCTCAAGAAATAACAAGGATACTAAAATGAACGCTGGGACACACTCTTATTACAAAGGTTCTGTACATGTGTATACAAGAGGCCACGTAACAGCAGGCACCTCACGACTAACACTACCACTGTTTTTATACAGTGTGAATACACAGGTATAATATGAATACCCAATACTTGACAATATTCTATACAACATAAAGAGGCTCCTCAAACCTCCACCAAGCAACCCTATCAACTTACCATGAGTTGGGCTAAAACAACATGGGTTCGAATCCTCGGCTAGTCAGTGTTGATAATGATCAATACAAACAACATGGCTCACCATAAGGCGGGCTACACATCATGGGTTCGAATCCTCGGCTAGTCGCAGTGTTGTTATTGGTCAATACAACACTGCGACTAGCCGAGG